AGTGAGCCACGGGCCGGCCCCAACCTGAATTTTTTAAAGAAACTATTACCCCTTTCTATAGAGTCATATTCTACTGTGAATTGTATGAAATCAGCATTTTTCACCCCTTCCGTGACATAAATTGGTACTTTTTCAGAGCAAATAAATGAATAATTCTTCCTGAGGACATGCTGTCAGAATTATCCAGGGCTAATTTTTAACTTGAAGCTAGTCTACTTACTAGTTGCTTATTTCTTACTACTCAGCTAGGTGCGTCAAAGATTGCAAATTAATTTATAAGCTAAGCAAAATATTTTTAGGGAGGCAAATAGATAGTACAGGGGGAAATAATGTATTCCATAGCTAAATGGGAATGTTGATGATCTGTTTTATTTGGACAGTTTAATTATGGCTCTAGCCCAAGAGTTGCTAGTTGGGGCATTTGTCTCATAATACAAGTAAACCCGAAGGGTATAATGTGATTTTTGGGTCCTGTAAGAATGGAGGAGTGAATTCTTTGTAGTTTGAATTCATTAGGATTTTCCCCTCCTTTTTTCATTTAATATTTACAAAAAACTAATGTGATATTCCGAATTATCAATCAAGCTTTTAAGGAATAATTACTGTATATATTATACTAATTAAGAAGTTAGTTATATTCTTTTTTGTTGTAAAGTATCTTTAAACAGAATTTTTCTATTAACTGAAATGAATGTAGTGATCTTTCTCCATCACTTGTCAAACTAGCAAATATTAATACATCGGCTACAGCTTACTAACAGCTTTCTCTGTGCCAAGTGCTGATTCATGTGCTTTGCGCACACTGCCTCATTCGCTCATCCCAACGATCCCACACCCCTGCAATGTGGGTGTTTCTTTTTTGCATTTTAAATGGACAGCATGATTCAGAGAGTTTAAATAACTGCCCAGGGTCACATAGCTAATATGTGGTTCACTCAAACAGATGTCAGGTTGACTTCCAAAGCCTGCTCTTCTCTCCAGGTTAGCCGCCTTTTCCAGGAAGTGATGAACATGTACCAATAAATCCGCTCTGAGTTGGGGGAGGCCAAAGGAGAGAGAACATTTCTCTAAGCCAACGTGTTTGAGAAGGTCTTCCCTTTACCTGAATTTCTTCATTAGCACGTATCGTTTACTCATTGAAATATAGACATGTCTCATGTATGTGTAGAGCTGTGTATATATGTGTATGGACCCCCCTCCACACACACACATACAATGTTCTAAGGACACCAAGTGATTTTTCAATGTTTTATTAGTGATCTTAGAAGCAAGATTAGCATAAAAACAGAACCAAACTTTATGTTCATGCAGTGATTAAAAGTAAGGATATGTCCTTTGAAGTAGTAGTCTCCGTTTATGTGTGGGTTAACTTTCAAGATTTCAGTTATCCACAGTCAGCCGTGGTCTGAAAATTCCAGGCACAGTTCCTAAGTTTTAGATCGCATGCCATTCTGAGTAGTGTGATAAAATCTTGTGCCTGGGGCTTGAATTATCCCTTTGTTCAGCATATCCATGCTGTCTGCGTTACTCCCCCGTTAGTCACTTAGTAGCCATCTTGGTTATCAAATGGGCTGTTGGGATGTCACAGTGCTTATGTTCATGTATCCCTTATTTTACTTAGAAATGGACCCAAAGTACAAGAGTAGGGATGCTGGCAATTCAGATATGCCAAAGAGAAGCCATAAAGTGCTTCCTTCAAGTCAAAAGGTGAAAGTTCTTGACTTAATAAGGAAAAAAAAAAATGATCGTATGCTGAAGTTGCCAAGTCTACAGTAAGAATGAATCTTCTATCTGTGAAATTGTGAAGAAGGAAAAAGAAATTTGTGCATAGTACTTATAGGGTCTGTGGTTTCAGGCATTTGCAGTGAGTCTTGGAACATTTTCCCTGAGAATAAAGGGAAGGCTACTGTACCTAAAATTATATTGCAGTGTACAGGCACACTTGGGTTCTCTAAGCAACATTACTAGAAAAAATGGTTAACATAATATGTTAACATTTTAGGGAGGGGGTCGAGAATTGGTAGAGCCTTTAAATAACCACAGTGGTGGATTCTTATCCTCACTCTGGGTGTAGTTGAAGTTCTCAAGTGATCTTCCAGTTATGTGTGTTCAAAAATGCTTCATAATGCTGTGCACAGTACTTCAGTCAAACGTCAGGGAGTTCATGGGCCTTCATCAGTGTGAATAGGATTTGAAAGAGCTATCATTAAGAGAAAAAAAGGAGAATTTTTAGCTATAAAACTAAGAATTTTTGAAAGAAAAAATACATTTCTCTGAAAGTTTACAGTGAGAAACAAAAGTCTTTTTGGTAATAAAGAATAACAACAATAACAACAACAACAATATAATAATACGTAATAACCGATAGATGATGGCAGTATTGGTGTGGTGACTCCTTACGCTGATCAAGTGTTTAGGATACGTGCTGAACTTCGAAAAAAGAGATTATCTGATGTTAATGTGGAAAGGGTGCTAAATGTTCAAGGTAAGTATTAATAGAAATGAATTAAATTATTTAAATGCATGAGTCTTAAATTGTGTTCACATTTGATTTTTCAATTGTCAGGATCTCTTTCTTGGACAAGAGCCAGTTTCAGTCTATTTCTTGAATCCATGCACTTGAACATTTTGCTATATCAACAGGGCAATAAAAAAACAAATCAGATTTAAAATATAAATTTCAGGCTATTTTTGGACTAGTTCTAACTTAATAAACTTATAGTAAGTATTTAGTGTTACTTCTAAAACAATGTCCTTTAGCTTGAAGGCTATTTCATTGTGATCCCTGGGATCTTGTAGACAAGACTGTCACTGAGCCTACTGGCTTCTTATGAAGTGTGAGGTTGTTGAAGGTTCTGCCTAACTCAGTGCTGCTTCACATCTTGTTCAGTGTAGTTGAGGTTAGTGAGGACAGTATAGGAATGGAGTATGTAGTTTTAAAAGGTAGCTTAAAAATAGAGCACGTTCTGGCTTTTTGCCTATGTAAACTTGAAATGAAAATATATAATAAGGAACTGATATTAAAAATTAAGCTAGAGTAAAAGACAATCCATTCTTTCCTTGTTTTTCTTCGTCTTGAAGTCCAACACAAACAAGAAATGCCACTCTGTGAAACTGATGCTTTACCAATTAGACTAAAAAATCTCTTTTGAATACAGTATGTAGTAGAAATATTAATACAGATAAATATTAATACAGTTGAATATTGTGGCTGTTCTTATCAAAAGGGTGGAAAGCTTTATGGATTTTATTTTATTTTATTTTATTTATTTAATTTTTTTAAAAAGATGACCAGTAAGGGGATCTTAACCCTTGACTTGGTGTTGTCAGCACCA